TGATGCCCCAAGTATCAATACGTGAACTTCAGAACAGCCTTCAAGATGGTCACTAACATGAATGAATTAGGAAATTTATCTTTCCCACAGACAACTGGAGTTTTCTATCTGGAAACTAAGCACTAAACCAGATTAAAGCAAAGTACTGCAATATTCACATTCAAAAAACTGCAAAACATACACAAGCCCACAACAGTGTGTGCATTTTTATGGCTACATGTTTAATAAGATATTACCAGTAACTGCTGAATCATCTTATACTCAAGCTGAAACAGGTTTTAGAGGAGAAGTATACAATAATAAAAAGAACACAATCCTCCCTTCAGCAGCCTTCTCCAACCTGCACCCATTTCTCCCACTGTGGTATCATTCCTTCTCAGAAGGACAGCCTGAGAGCAGGGGCTCTTGCAGTCCACATGGGGCAGTGAGAATCTGATGTTTGTGGGCACTGAGGAACACACAGCTCTGTTCTCAGCCTCCCCCTGCACAGACATTCCAGCTGCTTAAACCTCTAAATGGGACACAGCAATGCAAAATTTTAATTTCCCTGGAACACACCACAGGCTGCAAGAGCCAAGAGAAATGTATGTCAGTTGGGACAAAGATCTTTTCACCCACACCAATGATCTCTGCACTGCTGTTACTGACAGCCCTCAGAGCCACAAGTTTGACTGTCTGGAAAAGATCCCCAAAAGGCCAGAGACTGGAGACCAGAAGTGAGGTAATGCAATGAGAATCTCAGCCCACAAAACAGCACAGTTGAAGTTTGTGTTTAAATAAAGTATTTTTAAATGGTAGTGGGTATTTTGTATCAGAGCTGTCCCTGCATTAGCCTGACAAAATGGATTTCACATAACCTAACGAGTGTTTATGAAATAAATAATTACAGCTCCCTTATGAACTACAACAAGCCAAATTTGCAGCTCCATGTGCTCAGAATCTATGTGCAATGCTAAAGGCTTAAAAATTAATATTTATTAAGTCTGTAATAGGACACTGCATCCATGACAGCCATAGACTAATGTGCTACGGGAAATATTTCTACACCCACCAGCCCAGCAGTTCAACATAATCCTTACCTGGGAGATTAAAAGTATTAGGCAAGACTGCATGCTGTCTTATGGATTAGAAAGCAGCTTTTGTCAAATGTAACACCTCAACAACCCACGTGAAAGGCTCACAGGTGAAAAAAAACTTCCATAGAAGCAGCTCAATGGTAAATGAAGGTCTGCAGGGCGCCAAGCACACCGCCAGGGTCAAACACTCTTATCTAAGCAGTCCCGACCCACTGCGAGAAACAGCAGCATAACTTTCAGCCTCTCACCCTGGCAGAGCACTCTGAAGGCTCCATAGTTGGAAATCAGAATGTGACAATGAGTGTTTTAATACAGTACTCCAGTTTGAGGTGTGGATTCCTTAGAAAAGGAGTTCAAGAGTTCCTGTCAGCCATTTATATGCTGAGAATGGAAATACAGGGGAAGAGATGATCAGTCTGGGGGCTGCACAGGCAAACTGAACATGGAAGAAAACTTTCTTAGCTTTTTTCAAATGCAGGTGTTCAAGAATCTCTTTCTCTGAAAGGCATTAACCACCGCAAGTAACACTTTGTTATGAAGCCTTCAGCAGCAGCTTCCTAGGATGCAGGTACTCCTACTGCCCTCAGCACAATGGCAGACCCCTGCTAACACTGCCAGTGAAGACAACTGCTTCCAGGAACAGGATCAGGCACATCTCACTGCAAATCTGAATCTGCTGGAGCACTGCGACCTTTGTGCTGAAGCTGAAGTCTGCGTTCTGCAGCACAAGAAGAAACTAGAAGCCCCTGGCTCTTAGGAAATGCACAGTTCAAGGAAATGCCAGAAGCAATAGGCTGCCATTCTCCAGCCTGCATGCCCACAGTAACTTCAACTGCGGAAATTTGTGAGAACAGGCTGCAACACCAAAAAAACTGATGACAACTCAAAATATAAGGGAACTACATTCTGGAACAACTGCTAAGCACATTCAGACTCAGATTATTAGACTCAGATTAGGGGGAAAAAAAGAGTTTTTGTAATGCTCTCTCTATACAGAACAAAGCAACAGACTCCCGCAGCCTGTTCAGTGTGCCCCTGGAGCCAGGTATACCTGAGCTGAGTTTTTGTCTACATAAATGTGGATAACTCCTCCATGTTTGTTACATTCCTCAATCACGTCATCTTTAATTTCTGTATCCCAGCCAGCTTCTTCTTCACTGCAGGGGGTGGAAGAGGAACAGAATAGAAATGGAAACATTATTACCCCCAGTAAATCCCACTTCACAACCAATCCATCAATAAAAACCCCACCCACCCGCTGTTCTATTTGGTTTCTCACACGTCATCAACAAAAGCTGAAGTGAAATTGCAATATGTCACTTACGTTTGAGGATTAAACATGTTGGAAAGCTGGAAGCACTGTGTTGCAAGTGGTTGTACAGAAGCAGCTGCAGCCAAAACTGTTTTAATGGGAAAAAAAACAATAATAAATCTCAGAATTCACTACACGTGGTTCCAATTTAAATGTGGATCTTCCATCTACTCTCTAAAAATCATTATCTGGCACAAACAGCAACAGTTCTACCCAAACAGAAAACCGAAGGCAAGGAAGCAGTGCTGTGGAAAAACCCAGATTAGCTACAACTGATGCCAGAAAAAAGAACTCTGCACCACCACTGAGGTGGATTTGCAACATAAGCATTTCAATGCAAACACAAGTCTCCACATGCGAGCACTGTGTGCACTCCAGCACCACCCCCACCCGTCCCTTCAGCCCAGCACCAGCCACACAGCAGGGCTGCCCCACACCTCACTTCACAGGACGTGCCACCCATTCCTGAGAATCCCCAGAACTTGTTTTGAGCAAACAATGATCCTTCAAATACACCCAACCTTTTTGTAGAAACACACAGCGCAGGAAATACTTGGCAACTGATAAAACTTCAAAGTCGTTCTGTACTCTCTCAGTAACCACACAATCACTCATCACCTGCTGTTACCAATCATCACAGTGCATCTTATTAATGTAAGCACTGTCCAAAAGCAGTCCTTTCACCTAAACAGAAGCTTACAGCCTGTGGAAATACAGGCCACTTTCTCTCGACATATGCAGAATTAAGGGGGACAAAGGCAGCAACGTAATGACTAATTCAGAGACAGCAGTGCCAAATTCCTGATTTTCTCATTTGAATCTTCTAGCCCCTACCTTTAATGCAGGGGAAAACAAAACCACACCTGAAGCCCAACTGCCCTATTCCTTGAGCTTCCCCAGGCCCAGATGGATGGAGCTGTGCACCCAGACGTGCCGGGAGCCATGAAGCCATTCTAGGACTCAGGGATATTTCCTAGGCAGCATTCCCAGGGCACACGTCAGTCAAACACTGAGGGAATGCCACAGAAAAGGTCAAGTATTCCACATGCTTTCTGTTCTTTTTGGCCAACATAAAGTACAATTCCTACAGACACCAGCACAATTTCTCAGGCTGTAGGCAATCTCCACATCAAAAGCATTTCACTTAGAGACAACATTTGCAGCACACAAGGTACTGGTGACAAGTTATATCAAATTCCACATTACCTTCATTCTGCTGAGAGAGTCTTGTTTGCAGATCTGAGGAGAAATACACAGAAGTTAATTAGCACATTTGTGAACGTTACCATACCTGTGTCGTTCCTGCCAGATTGTTTAGCTTGTGCGTTTGTGTTCAGGGCCTTGCTCAAGAATCTAGGCCTGCTCTCAACTGTTCCTATGAATAAATTTCCCTGCTTGCAGCTCATCAGCTGGGATATTGCGTACTTGAAAGATATTCCATAACCACACAGGTAGGCAAGAGTATTTCAAAGAGAAACAATATTCTTAAAAGGAAAGTGAGACCTGACCGTGTCCTTTAGTTTAATACACAGTTCTCATCTCGTCTGTAATGTGCTTCGACTCTTAAGTGTTTTCTTTTCCCGTGAGAAAATACAGCAATTCCTGCAGGCACTAAAAACTTGCTATCTTAACTGAAAGCATTTAAGCGCACAGTTACCCAACCAACGTTCTGACAGCAGTTACTGTATTTATGTCGAAGAAACACGGTGGTATTTCACCTGTTATCTCTTCATAGAAACATCACAATGACACGTTACTTTGGTACTCTTCCATTTCAAAACATTTTCAAGCATTCAGAACATGTAATTTGTCACGTAAGTGTAACAGCTGTCCCTATTTGAAGTAACAGGGACAGAAGAACACAGACTTCCCAACCATTTACAAGGGTATGACTCAAGTACTCGACTCTGCTTTAGATTAGCAATGAAAAGCTTGGGAACGCTGGGAACAAACTTCACTCATTTCAATTTCTTAATTTTCACCAACACAGGGAGCCAGAGGTTTGCAGTGAGTCATCATCACAATTCACTTTTTTAGAAAGCTGTGATGATGTGATGGACCATTTGGAAACAAGGTGAAATTGGCTGATACCTGTGTACTTTTTCCCCTCTAAGCCCTCCTCCAAAATGCTGGCAGAGGGGAGGGATGCCAGTAAGGGCAGCAGGAGCCCTGAAGACACAGGGCTTACTCCCAAGGGCCTTCCAAATGACTTCCCTGGGAGAACACACATTGGGAAAGCATGTAAAACACGGGATTAAAAGAAGAGAGCTCTGAAAGCTGAGCTACATCTAGCATGTTTCTCACCTGGCTTTTTAACAGAACGAGTGCTCCACTCCACCAAGAGAGAAACCCCATAATGGGGGACTGTTCCAGGGCATATTCTTTACAGAAACCCACGAGATCCACACAGAAGTGTCCAAATCTATCATCTCACCATCTGTTCTGGTGGTGAGGCACTGGAACAGGTTGCCCAGTGAGGTTGTGGATGTCGCACTCCCTGGAGAGGCTCAAGGCCAGGCTGGATGGGGCTGTGAGCAACCTGGTCTGGGAGAGGTGTCCCTGCCTATAGCAGGGTTGGAACTAGGTGAACTTAAGATCTCTTCCAACCCAAACCATTCTGTGATTCCATAAATAATTACCAAGTTTTTTGGTAAAAAAAAAAGTGTTTGAATAAAATAAAGGCAAATAAGCAAAATTTCTTAGATCCCTCTAGTTAGATGAGGACAGACTTCTCCCTTTGTGCCTCTGGCATCACTTCAGCTGAACCCACCAAGCATAAGCCAGCAGGACCTGCAGCCCCATCCCCCTGTGCCCAACGTGACAGCTCCACACAGAGCACCCAGCTCTGGGCAGGGCTCACAGATCTGCTCCATTTACAGGTCACCTATCAATGCCTTGCAGCAACAAAATTCATATGTTAATTATCTGCTATTTCAGAAGCATACTCCTCCATCCATAAAAGCTTCCATTAACTACTTGAATATTCTCCCTGCTCAGGGCTGAAGAATGGATTTTCTCTCCAAATCCATTCCATTTTTGAACTTCATTGTCACTCTTGTAAGGCTATTCTTCCTTACGTGCAGCTTTGAACAGGATGTGGACACTGAAGTTATGATCTGTCAAGTTAAACTCAGCTTTGTGTTGAGTATATTCTGTGTATATTATATGCAAGAATAGGGAGACCTGAATGACTTTGCACATGCTCAGTACAGATACAGCAGAATATCTATCCAAGCACTGTGTGCCTTAAAAGACATTGTGATATTGTTTCATTTTCAAGCAGAGCCAGCTTCAAGTAAACAAATGCCAGCCACATTTCCCAGTTTTCTCATTATTTACAATAGAACAGCAGATCAAGTCTGCTGAAAAGAAATTTTGTCCCACAAAGTATATGAAGTGTTCTATTGCCTCCTGATTTTCCATTTTCAGACACAATTTACCTAGAGAACAAGAAATAGACAGCTGTAGCTGTTTAGCTTCAACTCTTTTTCCTGCTGGAATGTTCTCCATGTCAGTAAATCCAAGCTCTCAGGTTCCCCAAGTAACTACCAGCTTCCTCACCTCTAGTCTCATTCAGCAGCTATCAAACATAGGCAAGCAGTTCTAGCCACCGATTTGCAGAGACACTGAAACACAGCTGCCTCATCACAGACAGCTCATATTCACTCTGACTAAACCAGGTTTTTCCAACTCATCACTACTCCTCACTGCTAGACATTGGTGCTGTGTTATATACCCTGCATCTCTACCAATTCTCAACAGGTGCTCATCCCATGTATAACACCCCACATATCTCACACAGAGCACCTCTTTGTTCACTCACTGTTACCTCACTGTTTTTTGCCATTGTGAATCATGCAGTATTTTATGAGATCAGAAACTGGAATTTGATTTCAACAATGTCCCATCATTCCCAGTGTTTATTTGGGGAGGGAAAATGCCCCCTTTGTGTGAATCAGCTTCTTGTCAGATTTTCCCATTTCACATACTATCTACTTCTTAGAAATTTCTTTTGGAAGTTGATTATATTTCCAAATGACACAAATCAAGAGTTAGAAGAGTTTCACTATCAAAGTCTTCTTTTACTCAGGCTGTTAATGCTTCCAAGCAGTTTTCTAAAGGTATGCAGTATTTTCATCATATTCTCCAATTTGCCCTTCTTTAATGTGACTTTTAAATGAACAAAGCGAAGCCAGAAAAACAGGACTGGCAACTGTCCATATCAGGTTCTTCCTCCTTCCTTTTTTAATGTGCAGGTAATTTAGACGTAACATCCCAGCCATGTATATCACAGACTTAAAATATTTACTGATAACACTGGACACTGTGTCCCATATTTCATGCACTGATTACTTCACTAATTTGATAGAAGCCTCACTGCCCTGAACTGACAACACGCAACTCTTCTTTAGACCTTCATCCACCTTGAGATGCATTTTTTCATAATCCATACTTCTATTTGATAGGAATCCCAAACTTTATGACCAGTGTTCCCGTTACAACCTGAGAGAATAAGGTTCTTTTGAAACATCAAGTATTTTTTCATTCAGCCTCAGCCCTGCTTTTCTGTTGTCTTCAAGATCTGATCAATCTTCATCTGTGCTTTCATTTTATTCATTTATTTTTACAAAGTCTATCTTAACTCTTGGTAAGTAATTCTCACTTTATCATTTACTAACAGCACTGTCTTCTTTACTGCCATATTATCTTTATTATCCCTTTCCTATTCTTCACAGGCTCTGTGCTTATCCTGTATTCTTCTAGGGGCAATTACCCAGTTCAGTGTGGAGCCCAATTTTAACAGGATTGTTTCTTCTTTCTGTGGGATACAGATCCAATGTAGCATTAGCAGTTTGGAATTGAAGAAACTTTTTACATCCTGTCTGTTCATACACTCACACTACTTAGACCAGTTGACTTTATTTTCTTAGTTCTTCAACCACCACTTTTGAAATCATAAGCCTTATCCTTCCTTCTAAGCTTGAGCAACTCATGATCACTCAGTCAATGGTCAATTCTATTCTCATCCATAACATCTTCATTACTTACCAAAATGAGTTTAAAATAGCATCCCTTCTTCATGAGTCAGTGAGTGTTTGATGAAGAAATTTGTCGGATATCACATCCAGGAATATCTGGGCCCCACCATTATTACTAGCAATTCTTCTCCAATCTGTATCAGGGAAGTTAAAGTCTCCCACAATGACATAATTCCTGGTAGTAATTTTCTCTAACAAGAGTAAAGAGATCTTTAATCCATAACCAAATCTCACTTTGGGGATAGCTCATGACTCTAAAAAGCTTTATCCTTCTCCAAAGTTACTCAAATTGTACATAATTGCATTATTCCTTTTGCACAATACAAGTGGAACAAACAATGATACTCCTACCACCTTCATTTCTACAATTGCTAAACATGCACATTATACAAAAAAAACTTTGTTCAGCCTTAAAATTCACTCCTCTACAGTTACGCTGTCTCACACTAATTCAATGCTATTCCAATGATTTAGATGTCTTAAAACGTTTCTGGCCTCCCGCTTCAGACACAGGAGAGAAAATGATTGCAGTTTCTTTATAACATTTTTCTCATTTCTCACCAACCACACTTATAGCAAAGCTGTCACATCACTGGCACCTACAATAAAGGTGATCTCATGCTATTGCTGTTCACCTTCCTTCTGGACTAGTTACTCCTCTTCCTTGCCACCTGGTCTTCTTCATGTCTTTCTTCATTAATATAAAGGACTTGTTTCTCAATTCACAATCTCCTGTCACTTCTCAAATACGTTTCCTTCCATGACAGGGGATATAAATTATTTCATGCATTTGCTCTTTTCAACAATGCACCTGAACTTCATTAACATGACTCAGGTGTACCTTAAGTCTGAATGCCTCCTGCCACTCTTCTAGGAGACAGAAATCCCCATGCACGTATTCCTTCTTTGTTTCCTGACACTTATTGCAAATTCCAGCAGCCAGTTATCTGCAATATCCCTCAAGTCTTTTCTACTGCTACAAAGATTTGCCAGCCTTTGCTTTAGTGTTAAAGTCTCCTGTAAGTTACCTGAAGCCCTCCTGAACATTTTGGCTCAGGCCAGCTATTGAACTAGCAGCAGGAGCACTCATATTCTCAGCCTTATCCTTTCAGAATAAAGTCTCAGTAATTCTTCCAACAAAGCACACAAGCTATTAGCCATTCCTCAAGCAACACACTGATACCTTGATGTACAGTGCCCACCTCTCCGGACATGCATCATATGATCCTAACTACTGTAGTGTCCTGCAAGTAACCTTCCTGCTCCTGGTACAGCTGGCTCTTTGTTTTGGTTGTTTTTTGTTTTTTTTTTTGTTTTTTTTTTTTTACAGAAGGGACTCCGTAGAGGGTCAATCCTCTTCCAGTTATGAGCCTGCCACTTTTAACAGTCAATATTTACACTGCAGCAGAACATTACTGTTCTGTAGAGATGAAGGTCTGAAATGAATTAAATGAACTACAAAGATTCAGCAGAAGTAATGCAAAGTGAAGCATATCCATTAAAGCTGACACATACTGCCACTGTTTACTTGCCCATGGATTTGAGAATTTCCTCAATCTGTAAAATGTGTTGTGGTATCTATGTTCCCAACTTAAAAGATCAGAAGATGCGTTTCAGCACTTTGTCTCTAAATTATCAAGTATGATCAGCATTTCGGACAATAGGTGATCATTTCTTACCTGCCACAGCCCCAAATGCCAATGACCCACTCATCTGCAGAGCCTGCTGTGCAGCCGGGGGAATCTGCAACCCAGTACCTGAGCAGGAAGCACGAACACACAGATTAATTCAAGTTACATAAAAATTTTGCAGACTCCCTGTTTATCACCATACATACCCTCTGCAAGTCTTGCCATCAACTGAAGGCGACCAGTTGTTCCCAAGTCAATTCCAGTTCGTTCCAACTCATCACTGTCCAAAAACGAGCTAGCACTGGAAGCATCAGTGCGCTCAGTTACATGCCCAACTTTCATCGGCCTCCCAGCCAGCTCAAATCCATTGAGCTGTTCCAAAGCCTTTTTGGCACACTCTGAGTCTGAGAACTGCAGGTGGGAAAAATATAAATTCAGAAATCCTGCCAACTATATTTAGCAGCACTCATCACACGTAACATCCATAGCTACATAAATGTAGAAAACACTAAACATAACAGCAGCTGCCAAGCAACTTTAAATGCAATTCATATTTTTCATTATAACCAAACACAAACCAGGCAGAATACTTTCTCCTGTGTAGAGATATGTATTATTGTTGAAGCTAGACAACACAGATATAGCAATCTGTGGGAGGCATGGCTGTGGTCATCTTACAACACTTTCCAAGAGCAGCAGTCACTTGTGTAATTTCTAACCACCATGCATTTGTTGGCTGCTCCTTGCAGATGATCTCCTTCAGGATGCACGTGAAATTAAAAACACACGCTTATTGTCTGTGTTAAGACTTCATATATTAGCTTAAGTCTGTTTCATTGGTCTCCAAGTGCCAGAGGCCTTTGATGTTGCTTTCATCACAAACTGCTGCGTTCACAAAATTATGTATTTAAGAGCCAAGATGAAGAGAAAGATGTTTTTAACAAAAAATTTCAGCCTCTGAAATTTGATGTCACGAAAAAAAAATATCTGTAATTCCATCATTTTAATGACACTATGAGAAAGTCAGTGTTTGGAGTTGTATTTGCCTGCCAAGAATAGATCTGCTCTGCAGGCACTGACCATCAGGTATGCTATTTCTATCTACACACATAGATTGTTTAATCACATTATCCACAGAGAACTAGCAGAAAAAAAAAAAAACAGACCACTGCTGCACATCCTGCAACATGAAATTTCCAAGCAAGGTTTGAGTAACCTTTATCACTATGCAATAAGGTTACAAAGTTGGCCAAGAAGTCTGGTAATTCCACTCATACCGTAATAAATCCATATCCTTTGGAACGTCCAGTTTCACTATCCATCATCAGCTGAATACTTTCAATCTAAAAGTAAGAATAAGCCTGTTTACTATCAAACAGTTTGGAACAGAACAAGATATCAAATAACACATACGTACAGCCCTGCCAAACATATATGTATTAATGAGAAACCATGTTTGGATTTTTTTTCTTGCTGTTCTTTTTTGGTTTTAATTAAGTTCTTAATTCTTTCCTCAAATAAACATTAGCATAAAAACAGCAAGATATGCACTCTGATACAAGAACAGAAACAGTAAACGTCAAGGTCATGAAACAACACAGGGTGTCCCATCTGCTAAGGAAACCCAATTTATGAAGACAAGAAGTTTGCATGACCGCCAGGGGCTTTAAGAAAAGTCTGCCTGTTTTCAATAATTATTGGTATACTGTTATTCCCAACATTCTATAGTTACTGAATTTAAACATGAGAAAGTCATCCATGAGCCATGAAAGTGGTTGAAGAGAAAGCAGCACTGAAGTCAGGAGAACTGAACTGAAGACTAGAAAGAAAAACCATTCACAGCTATCTCTGTAAATCTTCCTGGTCTACATTAACCCTACTGCCAGACCTTGAGAGAAAAAAGGAGAGCAGCCACATGGATTACAATTTAACCAACTGCTGCAACGTTCCAGACTTTTGCACAACAGAATTAAAGGGATACACACAGTAAAGCTGAACACAGCATCTAAAAAGTAAGGTTACAGAATGTACAAAACAAGGCTGCTGTTCTAAAATGGTCTGAAAATCATCAACAGGCTTGATAAAAAACATATCTAAGCAGCATATGAAATGTACTATCTTCTCCTCATGTAATAATGACATACCCTCAATGCAACAGTCAGCACCGTGCTACACCGTGCTACGTGAGGTGGAAAGTTCAGAATCAATCTGGTCACTTTTATAATTGTAAGGAAACATTATCATGCTATAAACTGAAAGTCACTGATCAGAGTATAAAGATAGAAGCCTACATCACAGCAGCAGGACACACTGCAAAGGTTAGCAATACAAGTTACTAATTAACAAAGAAATACTCAGAAATAGATTACATTACTATATATTCACTATGAACTAGACAAAGGCCTGATTCTGGGGAACTTCAGGAACTCACTGAACTCTCAAGCTCTCTAACATAAGGCCTGACACTCAGAATCACCAGACCATGTCTCCAGTCAAGGCTCTTACTTGTTCTGAAATGCTAACTCAATACCTATAGTCTTGTGGTATAGTATGTAGGTACACAACACTGAGAAAATGAAAATATTTGGTGGCTGTGACACTGAATTTTTTCCAAAGGCCATCTGAGTGCTCAGATAAACCACAACACCACAGGGTCAAATCAGAGCATACCCTGCCAAACGGCTCAAAGATTCCCCGAAGCATATCTTCAGTTATGTTGAAGTGTAATGATCCTACATAGAGCCTCATAGGGCCGGCGCTGCCCTTCTGCAGGTTGTTTGCCATTGCTGCTGCTCTGTTTTTCTCTGCCTATGGGGAGAAAGAAAAAAAAACAAAAATTGGTAAATTCTGCACGAATATAATAATAATGAAAAACCCTAAAACAAGCAGCATACTTCTACCAAATTCATCTCTTTTATAACCTGCATGTCAAGATAATCAACTCAAAATACAAAAGCAAACAACCATGACCAAATACAGAGATGTACCTCCCTAAAATCTTCAAGCTGAACAACTTCATGCAGAGCTCTGGCTTGTACTTAGTAAACTGTCACTTTGATTTTCACATGTGTTGAAAAGCACACTATATATATTATAATTTTTAAAAGTCACTACTACTTTATTAACATCAAAATTTTCAAAATGCACCTTTGATTTGCATGTCAGCTACTCGGAACCAAGGTCATTTTCTACACTTAAACCATACAATCATTACTGTTAAGGCTTTTCTGCATGTGCAGTGGTGACCAACTTTCAAACACTTCCAGCAAGGTAACAGTCACCAGTTAATATGGTTAAAAGCTTGGTTTTTTAAGTCCTTACCTGCGATGCCTGTACTATGATTGGTACGCCCAGGACTCTCTGTCCAGTGAGTCCTATTGCCAGAGGCACTGAACTAACATCAACAAATTCGACATAAGCAATTCCCTTTGAGCGTCTGGAATTTCTATCAGAAATCATCCGCACATCACGAACCTAAAAGACAAGCACAGACATACTGTTACAGACAGAGCTACAATAGGAAAGAAGCTGCAACAGCTTACTTTCAGACATGCTAATAAACAATTACTGGCCAAATCAATGGCTTTGTAATTATGCTACAAATCTAGGGTAGCATCAAATTCTTTGAACAAACAATTTCCTGGAGGAAAACTAGCACTAAAAGCTACAATTCAGAGTCAAATGCAGTATTCTTTAGGAAAAACAGATACCTGCAACAGACACTGCAGCACTGCAATGCTTTAAGCCAGAATCTTGCAGCTGGTAAAACTGCTGAAAAACGCTATTTCTTCAAAATTGAAAGTTAAAATTGAAATTACACTTCAACTGGCAAAAGATTACCTGCAGGAGACTCAAAGTTCTGAAAATTAAGTTATCTGAATCATAACTGCTCCCTCACATTTTGCATCATACTGCACACCAACAGTAAACTGACAAATTATTTCTCCAAGTTCAGAGCCTTAAATCATTTACGCCCCAGGACTCTCCTGAAAGACACCTCCTTATAATTCAGCAGAATACTCACCCTAGCTACAATTACTTGAGAAAGTATTCAGAATCACTTCAATCTCCTTATTACTTACCTTCCCTACTGTAGAGAAAAATTCTTCCAGGTCTCTTGGTCGAATTCTTGCAGCTAGCTGCATGCAGAATACTGTTCGAGCATCCCTCTCTTCGGGGGTAAGATTATCAATAGGTTCTCTGGAAAGAAGAAAGAAACATTAAAAAATCTGAATAAGATAACTTATCTTTGGAGTGCATAAAACTTTAAATATAAGCACTTTGAAGTCTAATGCTGAAAAAAATACCTGCAATGTTAAAAAAGTAGGGGCCAAGAGGTGAAGTGAATACCTAACATGAATATAATAGTATCTAACATGACTAAACTTCTAGATTTCACCTTAAAATTGAGTATGACTGGAAATTAGTATTCAAAACTCAAAGCCTCAACTACACAGAAGCTGCTGTTCTGCTGCTGTCATGAACAAAGAGCACCATACAAGTTTGCAGTCAAAGAGATGATAGGAAAATGAAGAGCACAGGATTAATCAGCACACCAATACTACCCTCAGGTGAGCTTTGCAAACTAAGAAGTTATTTATAGCCAGTCACTTGGGAGTCACTACAGGCATTGCATAAACACTGACATCTACACCAACAGCTCCCAGTCCTCACTGCTTGTAGCTTCTTAACACTCCTCCCAAAAAAGCAAACACATGAATAGCAAATAATTACTGTCATCCCACAGACTGGATCAGTGCTGATTTCAACTGAACAACAGCTGCAATCAGACACACTACATTTGCAATGTTAAAGCTTCAACTGGAAAAAAAAAAGCAGAAAAAAATCTGGCTTGCATTTATGTACAGAGAGAATTAGCAGGCCTGATTCTTGACTGAGCTTCCAGTAGCATAATATATTTATTTAGATATATCTATATTTTAAAATCTTACTGAGAAAACACAAGAAAGCTTAATTAAATTATCTCACTTTGCTAGTAAATAAAAAAGCATGCAAGACTATTCTCTAAATTAATATACTTAAATTTAAACAAATCTAATTAGCAGCAATCTAAATACAAGTTCCTTAATTGTAAAGCTTAAGAACGGATAAGCGCTCTCTGGATTTTGGTTACTTGGCTTCCCTACAAATAACATCAACAATGGGTAGGAAAAAAACAGCAGCACTTTTTCCATTCTGTATTTAGTAATATTTAGTAGAAAAGCTAGGTAAGTTAAATTAGAATTAACACACAAAAAATGAATATTAAGGCAAGACATGTTTTGCAAACTGACGTTATCTACAATGGTACCCCAAAAATTGGAGAGAGGGGAAGGGATGACATGGGGAAAAAAGCAACGTTTTTCCATGTTCTCGTTTAAAGGGCTTCCTGAATGATGAATTCCAGCATTACTTGTGACTTTAAGTTGGATAGCTGAGTAGTCAGTCACACACTATTTCATCATTACACTTCTTCCTTCAATTGATGGGGAAAAAAAAGGATATAAAAATAGCTACCTAACAGGGCTCTTGTCTTTTCTGAAGGGACTTTTGCTTCTGGAACGCCGTCTGCTGTAAAAAGATAAGAACAAGGTTACCAAAATACTTCAAGCGTAATGGTCTTATTTTAAACAAAACCTATTAATGATGCAATAAAAAGTAGAGAAAACTCAGAAACCTTAATTTGATGCTGTGAGGCAGACCAATCTTCCCTCTGATGGCACTGTTGAATTTGGGACCAGAACTACGGCAAAAGCAAAGACAGACATTACTTACCAGAGCACCTCAATTCAAGATTTTGTCTGTACTGACATTACATTGACAGCACTCACCCACCCGTGCACCTGACCCTGCCAGCACTTCCCACCAGCAGCACCCACTGCATGCACACACTGTGCACAGCACGCAGAACCACCATGGCACACCTCAGCACACACAGGACTCCAAGGAAGAAGTGAAGTGAAGCCAGAGCTGGCCAGACGTGGCACATGTGTGCACAGGTATTCTGAATGAGGGCTGCCGTCCCAATCTTATTTATACATTTGCCCACATGCACATCTCACTGACAAGTGCAAGCAGGACTCCGGTATAACATGTTAAAACCAAAACCTAAGTGAGACTTAAGATGCAAGTGGAAAGCAGATATCTGAAAAAGGAAACATCCTGGGAAATCTGCTAGTGTTGTCTCTGCTACATTCACTACAAAGTGTTACTGAGATGTAACTAAAGCTTCCTTTATGTTCTGAATGGACATCAAAACACAGAACCATTTAAGCCAGTAGTTAACCTTATATAGATACGCCACCATCTCTTGGCTGAATCTAATTTTAGTTCTGCAGGCTTCACAGAGGCAGTTACAACAAATGGCAATCTGCCCATTCCTTCCAGTGAAGCAGCCCTCTTGCTAGTTCTTGTGGCAGACCATGACGTGAATAGTAAATTCCTACTACTACTGTGTTCTCCCTGTACTTCATACCCTTCTAGGTACAAGGCCAAGAATGCCACCTGTTAACCCTCCTCCTCTAAATCCACTGAATGTCAGAGGCAATGCTACACAGACTGAATGCCAGAGGCCTCTGCCTTTCCCTTCGCATAGAATTGTTTCTTTCTGCTGTGGATATAAATTGATGTGAAGACACCCTGAAAAATACAGCAGTCTGAAGATATGACATAGTCTTTCACTAAATCCATGTAGCCAGCCAGGTTGTCTTGCTACCCAGGAAAGCAGCAATGCTGATAGTTAAGCTCAGCATTCACAACGTGGAGGAGGATGCCCATTCTAAAAACACCACGACACCATAACAGGTGGAAGGACAGGGCTAAGATCCAGAGCCATGCTGGCCAGGTTAAAGGAAGGGAAATATGGCCCTCAGCATCACTGGAATAAAAAAAATAAATAAATCAGACGGTTTAGAAACTATTTGTTAAGACAAAATAACACAATAAAAACAGGTACATAATATGCAATGTGTTGAGGTTACTCTAGATAAAAATACCCACTGAAAAATATCCTAGGATAAAATATGGCATTTCCCATTCAAGTTGGGTGAGCTGCTGAGAATACCCACCCAAGCTCTCCAACGTCCCCAAAATATACTGCCAAACAGTGCATATGGAAATGCCAGAACTGGTTTCAGGGGCTGGCATCTTATCAGAGGGGATTTCCCCACATCTTCACATGTGCTGCTGCAGAACACTGTGGTATCTTTTCAATTCATATGCAGCACTAACTACGGTGACCCCAATATTGAAACTAACACACAGAGACCAATTAAATAACTGCCAGTGACTAAGATCACAAGCTTTCAGGGAAACAAAGTGTTTTCTTATTGTATCTTTGCATAAAACTAGTTAAAAAGGAAAAAAAACCAGCACAAAGCTGAGAAAGTAAAGTCAGTTTTCAAATGCTGAGAAAATTAAAAAAAAAAAACATTAACCTTCCAATAAACTCTTGCTCATTTTCACTCTCAACAAACAAGCAGTGTAAGATAAAAGAAACAAAGGAACATTAAAAACCGACAAAGTGAAGACATAACTGTGAGAAGTCTCAGAAGCTGTCTGAGGCAAGGTGATAGCTTGAGGGAACTTCTGAAGATCTTTTTCCAACAGCAATCTGTGTGATGCATTTATTTGGATTTTTTTAAATTGAGATCTACTTGTAAAGCTATAGATCAAAGGAATTTTCTTCTTTCTTTCTTCTGCCATTCTAAAAGCTCTTTCACAGTTTTGTCCAGTTCCTGCTCTCATGCACGGAGAGCTGAGTAACAAGCAATTATCTGTATGTCTGGAGGTCAATAAGCCCCACATACAGCAAAGCACATAGTCCAAAACAACGAGGTAAAAACAAAAAAAGCTTTTACATCAGTTGTATCCAGGAGTTCAACAAAAGCCTCTCAGATGAGGCAGGTTTTGGTCAAGAAAGGCCTAGAGAGTCAATGAGTCAGTGTATGTGTAAGGACTCTGTTTTTCCCGTAGCTTCATCTAAGTTCTTGGTTCCAGAATACTCATGGTTCTTGGTTCCAGTCTAAGTGAGTTCTGCAGTACATTAAGAGCAGATGATGTCTTTTGCTAACAAGTCTTATAAAACTTAAATATTTTAAAGTGGCAAGATAAGTGAAAAGAACACCACAGAAAAAGCTACAGACACAGCAATGGAAGCCAAGCATACAACTTTTAAGAATTGCAACACGTAGCGACTACCTCATGTTTAAAGACAAAACTTGAAGACTGAGAATTTCTTATTTCATCCATCCTTTTCCTTCAGAATTATCTACACCACGCAGACCACCTCTCTCTCCAGTACTGCAGATGCTTCTGCATGTCCACCAGCAGCAGACATATCTTAAAAGTCATTTAAAGAGGATGAAGAGTGGAAAATGATACAAACAGGAAGCATTCTGAATTAGACATAGCAGCTGAGTGCAACACAGCCTGCAGTAACGCCAACTCTGAAGTGTCTGAACAGCCCCACAAGGCAAGATTCCAGATCCAAATTCTCCTTGCAGCAGCTGATGTATCTCAATCTCATTAAGCATTGTTTGTTACTCAGGAAATGTGAAGCTGATGGCACTGTTTTGTCATCATATGGTTGCATTATTTTTTGTAGATCCAAAGGCATACAAGGAAAGGAGGCTGATGATGCAGGAGATTTTATCCCCAGAACTAATGACTTGCCTGCTAAGATCTTTAACGCAGAAATTCATCTTTAAGAGAACCAGCTCTGCTCCTTCCAGAAAACAAAGGAGGTTTTTCTTTGTATCATCCACAACCTACAAGCAAACTACAGCTAACTGCTGTCCACTTCAGTCAGCACCAATGCTTCTGAGATGTGGGTACAACACATCTGGACACGTGAACATAGGCACACGTTAGTGTAGTAAATTGTGTTTCAACGTCTACCTGAGGAGAGCACTTCAGAAGACCAGGATGCTAAGGCTCCCAAATGTCTGCAGGCAGAGAACTATCTCACTCAGTAATGACAGGAAAAAACAAAGAGCAAAAGCCTCCCACGCAAACAAGAGGGTGTAGAAACTCCCATTTGATTACATGAGCAACACCACCACAGAGATGACTAGCAGGTTCCACCTCTGAAAGGCAGAAGATCTTGATTAGGACTCCTAATTAGGATTTACGAGGCAATCTGGAGCAAGAACAGTGGCACTGACAAATTCCAGCCAGCTCTTGTGATCGTACAGATGCCAAAGAGCTGTAGAAAACAAACTAACTGTGCACTGTTGCAATCCTCAGAGCTGGAACCCTGAGCAGGTCTACAAAGGCTGCAAAAAGCCTTATAAAAGAGATAAAGCAAAAGCAAGGCTGCTATGCTGTGTCCTCTGAGTACAAAGGACTGAAAAAAGCACAAGGAATGCCAGGCAGATCCCAGAGATGCAGCACATCTGCAGCATGAAGACTGCCAACATCAAGGAGGCTCAGTGCAAAATGAGACCCTGACACCTCCAGCATTTTTGCCTGCATTCCAAGAGCACCAAAAAGAATGCACTCCCTGCAGAAGGACCCAGCCACCTAGGATAAAAAAAATCTATTTTGCAGAGAACTGTACAAACTTACAGAATATCAAAAAAGAAAACGCACTTTCGCAAAAAATCTTGACAGATTTCTCCAAAGAAAGCGACACTGTTGCAAAAAGAAGGAAAAAACCCAAACACCTTTTCTTAGCGCCTGCTTCTGACATTACCTTGCGTTCCAAGGTTTGGCAACTGCTGGGATGAGACCCGGACTAAAGCCCACACAAGCAGCACCTGCAGGTAGCTGACAAAAGCCAAGCATGCAGCCCAGTTCTCACTGCTTTTCTGCTTCACTGAGGACTAAAAGAAGTGATGGGAGGAGCATACAGCAGGGCAGGAATATACAACAGCAGAAACTTTAAGCAAATACCACCAGTGAAAAAAAACAGCATCTGAGAAGCCAAAGCCAACTGCCATGAACTACCTACAGCAGAAGTCTTATCAAGCCAAAGAACAGAGGCACTGAAGAATACTTCTGCACCTCCAACTAAATCTGAGAAAAGGCAAGGCAAGCATACAGCACATGGGCACTACTAGGACAAAACATTTCTAAGTTTGGATGCATAAAACAGCCCTGCAGTAAACATATAAAGAGGCAAGAAATTTCAGTTACACAAGCAAAGGGTTTTATGAGCCTGAAACGCAAGTCACAGACCAGTGCTCTTTTTTTTTTTTAAACAGTTAATCCTTCCAACATGTACTGAAGCACTTAGAATGTAGAAATCTTGCTCTGTTTAGATCTGTAATAAACTTCGTTTTTGCATTTGTTTCCCAGTTAGTTTTACGCATTCTTTCACTTGTTTTTGCTTCTTTACATCGTGATAAGAAGGAAAACTAGCAAGAGGAACACAATATGTTACTGTCGTCCTCCTTTTTAATCCATACTTATTGACGCCATTTTCAGTCTGAACCTCTGTCCCTTTTCTGAGATGATTAACAACTAACGCAGAAAGCAAGCAGACAAACTTCAAGCTCTCACATCGCACACTGAGGGAGCACGCAAGCAACGTGTCCTAAATAACCTACTAGGGACTCCTATAGCGGCCTCTGAATCTGCGATCCCTGCTCCTGGAACGGCTGCGCCTGCGCTCCTTGCTTCTGCTCCGCTTCCTTTCCCGGCTTCTGCTCTTTTTTCTTTCCCGATCCCGGCTCCGTTTGCGCTCCTTGCTTCTGCTCCTCTTTCTGTCATGGCTTCGACTTCGGCTCTTGCTCTTTTTTCTCCTGAGAAGATTAAAAGAAAATGCAGTTTTGGTTACACGTGCAGCTCAAGGTCATCGCTCCCATTATTTATTCACATTCCTCATTCACATCCACATTCACAATTCCTCTAACTTGATGTCACAAGCATTAATGTGAAAAGTTGCTATACCCTGGTGTTTGTACAAGGATTTTTGTAGAAGGGGTGGGTAAACATCAGGAATCTTAAAATCCATAACGAACAAGATCAAGTGCTCTGCAGCACTTCTTTTCAATTTAATTTTGTGACACCAAAGCATGTTCTCAGAGTATCAGGACTGGAGAATAGAATACCTCCTAATTACAACTAGTGCATATTAAACGTAACACCGTATGTGCTGCCTTCCAAACATTTCAAATATGTCATTAAGATGCTAAGAATAACTTCTGTAAGAATAACTTTATTTTTAAAGCCGATACAAGCAAAAATAGAATGGAACAGCAAAGTTAGAGGAAAAGGAAGACTGTTTTCTCCTGACACTGTCTGCCACCACTTTTAACAACAAGAGTTTTGCTTCCTCTTTCAACATCAAGTTGCTACTCCCTCTCCTTGCTAAGCCATTTGCTTTTCTACACCCATGGTTCTTGTACATTTGTGGCAAACCAAGAAGTCAATGACGTCTCAGACCTGGACACAGTAGTGCAGGAGGGACCTCACAAGGGCACAGCAGAGGACAATCCCCTCCCTTACCCTGCTGCCCCCCTCTGGGTACAGCCCAGGGCACTGCTGGCTTTTCATCCAGCAGGACCCCCAGGTCCTCCTCCACAACAGCAGCAGGCCATGCTAACATATATGAACACTTGAATATTTTATTTTGATTGAAACTGAAGTGAGAGGTCAGAACCAATTCTGAAATTGGAAGCACTATCTTTCTTCCTATCTCAGTTTTAATTTGGGAGCTGGCCACTGAAACAGAAGCAAGAGTTTTACATATGCTTAAAAAAAAAAGCTTCAGAACTTTAAATATTGCGATCAGCTGATTTTGATGGGGTTTCAAGGCCATAGTATTTATTACGAGAACTATGTTTATAGTGCAAATCTGATGGTAGTAAACAGACCCTTACAATCTGTTTCTGAAAGTTTTCATGTAATTTTAGAAGTTATTTTAAAAAGCTGTTATACAAAATAGTAAAAGAAAGACTACAATGTTCTGTTGAGAATATGAGTAGTAATGAAAATATTGGGACGGAAAAGGGGAGGGAAGTTGATGTGGAACCCAGTATCGAAACTTTTCAAGAAAACAATCCAATCTTCTTCTGTCTGTACTGCTCTCAATTGCTTACGATTTCACACAGAAGATTTAAATGCACAGCTAAGATCCAAAAAAATACAAGAGATAAACCGTGCAGAACCTACCAAGTCTGTACTTTTATCTGGTGCTAAAACAATAAACATTTCCACAAATTTGGTGGCATCAGTGACAAGGGTGTAACTACGTTCGTAAAAAAGAAAACACCCTAATTTCCACAGCTGCAAATATCAAGATTTCCCAATTTATTTCCTTTAACACTAATGACACACGTACCAAGTCCCACAGCTCCAGCCCCCCGCCCCAAAGCAGAGCACTAAGACACTCACTTCTTGCTGCGTTCTTCGTGGCCATTGGCACTGCTCAATTTGTTCTCATCCTAAGCAGGGTTGATAGAAGAACATCGTGAGGACGAAGTGGAAACATTTCAAGTGGTCAAAGGGTAATGGGAATAGGAATAAGAAAATACAAAACAAAAATTTTAATACTAAATTACTTGTTTAGAGTTTAATGTGGAAAGCTTTAGATAATTTAAGTAGGCATGTTTAACCACTTTGCTGCTTAAATTTAGGTCATACAATTATGAAATACAAAACTTACATCATTTAAAAGTGTATATTAAATTGTAGATACTTCCTTACATGGTTTAGAGAGTAAGTTATCCTGTAGAATTCAGCACTCAAGTGGTTAAATGTTATTTCTATAAAACGTAAGAGGAAGTTTCAGGTTTGTGTGCCCCTCAGATCAGTACCAAGGCTACATCTCTGCCTAAGCCCCAGTGGCTACGCTAGCAGCCAGCCACTATCCATTCCTGTGACCGATGCCATTCCCGAGATCTTCGCTCATTTTCGTTGAAGGGTTGTAAGAGCTTGATGCCACCTCTGTCACACATCTCGCCCTGAAGCAAACAGGGATTCACACTGCTTTAGTAACGTCGACTCCCAAGAAAGTCATCAATAATCCACCAGTCCAGCCTAAACATTCCCTATTTCCATACCTGTTTACATGGAAAATATCCATGTTAAACCAGGACACAAGAATTTTAACATAACAATTTACAATTTTCTGTTCAAGATTTTATAAAACTACTAGGTATTACATAAACTAAATATACAATTTAAAACTTACAGTGCTCATTCAAAATTCATGACACGGTTGTAATTAACACTGCAGAACAGACTAACAATAGCTGCTATATAATTTATATACTTGCTTTACAATTTAATCACATGGGTTACATCAGAAGTACAATTCCTAAACGACTTAAGTTTGATACACATTACTTGTGAAACCAGTGCTAAAGCATGCATGATGTTAACACTTCACCACCACTTGGTGAAAAACAAAAAAGACAGTATTCATTTGCTGCTGGTTTAGGCAAAAGACACCACTACACTCATTGGTAAAAATTTTGCATCAGAATTGACATTTCTTAATTGAACAACTAGGACAGAGGAATACAGGAGATTTGTTTAGAATGACAGTGCAGACTGTGATACTGTCTTTTACTTGCTAAGAACGGGCTGTTCAGGGATCCAAGAATTTAGGTAAATCCGTTCACTCAGCAATTGATTTCCACCTGCTCTGTTAAAAGATTAACCACCACCAGCCTTCTGCATTAAGAGCAAGTCTCACTCTTCTTGCCCTGAGCAGACTGTTCAAATATTTACTTGCCATGGGACTGGTGAAAAGGTTATTCTTGGAACCCTGCTGTTTTCCCAAACCACTGCATTCACCTTGTTGCTATACCAAACTGGACCTGGCAATTTTAGGAGAGATTTCTTGTTTTGGGGTAATTTTTTTTTTGGTTGGTTGTTTCTGGGTTTTTGTTTCTTGTTTTTCTTTTTTTTTCTTTTTTTTTTTTCTTTTTTTCTTTTTTTTTTTTTAACCTAGGGGACCACGGTACAGCGATACGTCACTCAATTACTACCTTATGATTGACAGTTCACACTGGAATCAAAGGTGAATTCATGGGAGTAGAGGTGAGATATCGTTAGGCAAGTCTACAAAGAGAGATAGATGGGCATTTATTCATCACGCTGAAGTGAAACTACTGCACAATATAATTACATTAACAGCACATATTTACTTGCAAGTTACATGTAATGCATCTCCAATAAGACAAATCATGAGGGCTCCAGGGATGTTAGTTTACAGTTCAGCAGTAGTTTCATGAATAATGCTAAATTAAGGTAAACAGGACCTCACTGGCACGTTTTTCTCACCTTCTTGTATGGAGCTTCAAGCATTGCTTCTATATCAATATCATCAGCCATTTTTTCAGGACACCTGAAAGAAAAAACAATCCAGCTGAGAGGGAAAACACCAGTGTTAAGCTTTTGCTTAAGAGGTTGTTACTGCATCAGTTACAGTTCACACATCAGCCTCTCAGTAGCTATTTCCAATAAGACTGGAATGAAGCTCGCCCAGTGAGCTGGTAAAGAATGTGACACAAAGCAGCAACCAATGATAGCTGAGAACAACACAAATGCTTGGGGCCCTGGGCAGCCTGGTTCAGTATTAAATGGGGAGGTTGGTGGCCCTGCACGTGGCTGAGGATTCATGATCCTTGAGGTCCCTTCCAACCCTGGCCATTCTGTGATTCTGCATGCGATTTTGTGCTATCAGACAATTAGCAAACAGAAACCCCTGAGGTATTCCCAGCTATTTCTTTCTTAACAAAGAGCACAGCTCACTATGATACAGCAACACAGGCCATCTTAAGAAGTACTAGAGCTCAACCAAAGGATTACCTGAGCTGTGTAAAGACAAAACGTTCAGGCAAACCTGTCTGCACACTCCCTGCACTTGCTGCCATCACATTTATTACCCTGATGACTTGGATCACCTTTAAGAAACGTGACTTCCTGCACAGCACAGGCCACTGAAGAATCTTATGATTCAAGCACTAAGAAAAGCACACACCCGATCCATTTAGTCCAGACTTTCAAGTTTCAGGAGAGAAAAGAAAAAGAAGCCATATCACACCATACAATACCAGTTTTCAACTTCAACCTCCTCGTGTTGTTTTGTGTTTATTATACTCCAAATCCTCCTGACATTTGATTCCCTTTTCCTATGCAAGTCCACTATTAAGAACATTTCAAAACTCTGCAGCATTGAACAGAGACTCGACTTCCTAAAAACTATCAATAAAAGAGGTTCTTTCTTTTCCTTTTTAGAACTGAGAAGCAAGGCCTGTAGACGTGACTGTACGTGAGGACTTTCCTCCACATGCGCCATAAATTTCTTTAAACCATGATAATTCTTGCACCGTGGTTGCAGGTACTGCTGTACAAGAACTGCACTTTCTAGCATAATTAAATTGCTCCAAATTTACAAAATTCTTTAAACTGTTCACCCACAACCTCTTAACAGAGACATACCAGAGCTTCACCACCTCTAAGAACAAGTCTCTCTTCCGCATTAGTACACAACGAATAAAACAAACCTGCACTAATATGGGAGCACTGAAAGTTCAAGTTCAATCGCTTAATGTGAAGGCACACTAACCTCATTTTCACAGTTACTGCCTCTGGGGCTACAGTGTTACCACAAACACGGCCACCCTTGGTTTCTACCTAATGGCTACATATTGCTTTTTCTCAGAGTATTTACAGGTAGTTTTTCAAGTCATGTAGATAAGCACATATAACTCAACTCACTGCTGCTCTGCTAACAGGAGGCACATCTAAGAGGAGCAGTATGATTAAGCACCACTAAAAAGCACCAGGTTGAAACGTGGTTTTCAACAAGAAACAATTCCATCAGTGGCAACTTCCACCCATGACTGCTTTTTTGTCTGTGCATTTAGCCAACAGAACACATCCACCTACAACTAGGGCAGAATTCTTCACACGTGAAGAGGAATGGACGAGAGGTCAGGGACAGAACAGGGACAGCCCAGTCACGAGCCCCGAAGACAAGCACATCAGGAATGCCGATTGCTGCGCCCACACAAATAGGTGTAAAAGCAACAACCATCCTACGGAGGATTCAAAAAAAAAAAGAAAAAAAAGAAAAAAGCCTTATCACAAAGCATTCGACCACAGAACTTACTGTTCCAAACAAAGAAAAAGCCACATGCTGTGTTCAAAACAAAAAGTTTATAGAAAAAGCTTTTCATTACACAAAGACACCCCTCGTGATCCTGGGCCACAACTGGCAGAGGACACAGAGGGAAGTGCTGCTCCACGACAGCCCTCTATTCCTATCATTCCGGGCTGTGTGCTGTCAGGCAGAGCCACAGGCAGTGTGTGGAGTTACGGAGACCTTTGGCCTCAGCCCATGCAATTGTACAATTTGTAACCAGTGCAATACTGGTGTCACACCACACTTCCAAAGTACCTTCTCCTTCTGCAACACACAGACCCACTGACTCCACAATTCCAGCCAAAAATCGAAACACATACAGTTATTTTTCTAGTAAAAAAATCACAGATAAGAATCCATGAATTTTAAATGAGTATAAAGCTGTAACAGATTCCCAAATAACCTTCTTTAAACACCAAAAAGCCCTAAAAGACTACTTGTAAAAGGCTTTGTTCTTTTGTTTTTTGTTTTTTTTTAAGGAAAATGAAAGCTTTGTATGCTCGAAATCATTGTAGAAGGAAAGAAAATAGGAATGAATTATACTTGAGACTTCCTCAGTCAACAGGAAGCCTAAAAGAACACAAGATTCACGACTGCTGACTTCATCAGTATTTCACAACGTAAATCCACCCCTCTTTGCTATGCTACAATACAGAACAAGTTTAAAATACCAATTCGGTCCGCGTCCTGCTAACAGGAGGCATAGAGAAACGTTACGGAGAGCTTCACCGCCCGGGCTGCGAGCACAGCTTTGGCCGCACGGCGCTCCCACTGCCCACGTTCGCACCCCGGCACTCCCAACGCTCCGCGCGCAACCAAAGAGGAAGGAAATCGAATTCGGTTCTCAACGACGCCCCCCAAGGCCGAGCCCCGCCCCGCCCCCCCCCGGGCCGAGGTCCCGCTCCGCGGGCATCCGGGCCTCAGGGCCGCCCTCAGCTCCCGGCCCCGCGCCCCGACAGCCCGAGGGCCGCTCCCCAGGGCGGCAGGGCCGGGCCGCACAGCGCCATCGTGGGGGGACTCGGGGAGGAACAAGGCGGCGGCGGGGACAGCCGGACCCGCCCGCTACGTGGCCGCGGGAGCAGCCGAGCCCGCACGGCCGGGCCGCGAGGCGGGGGGCAGGCCGAGCTCCGCCCGCGCCGCGCCAGAAGAACGCGGGTCGGACGCCGCGGGGAAACCGACGGCGGGGCCCGAGAGCGCGGCACGGGGCGGCCCTGCCGGAGCGAGGAGGCCGCGGCGGCGGGAGACGCGGGCCCCGGCGCCCCTGGAGCCAGGCCGCGGCAAAGCCCGGCACGCGGCCCGGCGCCAGCCCGGCAGTTACCTGCGCCGCGGGCAGCTGCTGTCCTCGTTCGGGTGTCCGAGGCCTGGCGGCGGCAGCGAAAGCTCCCGGCTCCGGCGCTGGCTGCGTTGACGGTGGGGGATGGGCCCGAGGGCTCGGCAGGCCCCTCCGAGCGGTCAAAAGGCAGACGGACGGCGCCGCTCGGCCGGCCGCGGGGGCGGCAGGCGGCAAAGAACGGCGCGGTCGTGACGAGCGGTCCCCGGACCCGGGCTGGGCCCCGGCTCTGGCCGCGGCGGCTGCTCCCCGAAATGGCGCCCGCCGCGTCTCGCTGCTCGCAGGCTCCGCACACGGCACGGGGCCGCCCAGTACCCGTCGCAGGGGCTCTCGCGAGACACAAAGGCCGGCCCCGCGCCCGCCACCTCTCGCGAGACAGTGCGGCCGGAAACCACCGCTCAAACGCTCGCGAGACTCGGTGAGGGCTGTAAGACCGCCGTCTCCACTCCTCCGTACTCTCGCGAGAGTGCTCGCACCCGCCACGGGAGGTCAAAGGTGACCCGTAGGGATTTAAACTCAGCGCCGCCATTTTCTTGCTGTGGCTCCTTGTGGAGCGGAAGGATGTTGCTGTGGTCTGGTGTCGTTTCTTAGTTACTGGGCCTTGAGGTTGCTTGTAGCATGTTTGCAGGAACAGCCGTATCTTATTTTCTGTGGGGTGTCTGCTGGGCTGCCTGTGACCACCTTTGGGCCTTGGTGGCCCAAACAGTCCCTACTCACTTGGTTGTCTTCACAGTGTTGTTTATTTTCTTTTAACTGGATGTGCTCACTGCTCTCCTGCACCCTGGGTGGCAGCTCAGAAGGGTAAAAGGTGTCTCTTGTGTAAGATGTAATATTCTTTGGTTATTCAACAGTGTGCATGCTGGCCTTGTGCTGGTGGCTGCGGGCTCAGAGCCTTTGCTCTTTTCTTATGCTGAAGCATCTATGTGATTATCCCTATGGAGTGTTCCTGGGTAGTTAGAGCTCTGATGCTAAGTTCTACGTGAGAAAGGTCCTCTCGCAGTCCTTTGTCATCTGGGGGCTTTTAGCTAAAGAAACAGAAAAGCGTAACTTTGGAGAGATGAAAAGGGACTGGCCAAGATGAAGTGGACCCAAGATAGGAGGAACAGAAGCAGGGAATCTGCAAAGCCAGCTCAGGCTGTTAGAGGACAATTTTAGGCCATGCTTCATTTGGTAGATCTTGTCAGCCATTCAAGATAAGCTTCCAGAGAGGCTGTGAACTGATGCAAAGCTTCAGTGGTACTGTAGCTTTGGTGTCTTTGAATCAACAAAATATGTATGTGTTATCAGCTGGGAAGTTTTCTTGGCGAAGATGCAGGCGCACTCATGTGCCTTGTCCAACTTGAGCCTATTTTCTGTGGAAAGCCTTGGTTTTCCATTTTTTGAGCAAGGCTCTTTAAGAGACTGAGAAGCGTTACTGTCCCAAACATTTGGTAGAAGTGTAGGAGGAGATCAGCACAGTAATGAGTTAAGGAGCAGTTGGAGGAGGGAACCTTGCAAAGGCAAGGTATTTGTCTAGACCCATCTCCTTATCTTGTGAATACTATGCAGGCCTGTTTAATTACAGCAAGTAAACTTAGTGAGGGAGGAAGAGATCTCGCAAACTATGCTTGCATACATTTTGGCAGGGTCAGAGCAAGACCCCCTGAAGACTCCCTCCAACCCAATTCCAGAATATTCTAAATCTTGAAGAGGGGTAGGGTCACACCTTGATGTTAGAGGGGAGCTGATGACTATCTGAGACCCTAGACTCATTTCTGGAATGTTCTGAAGGACTGAGCTTAGGGAGAGGGGGGCCGTCAGCACTGCTCAAGGATCAACTCTGGCATCGCTGGATCCAAGAGTAGTGACTGCATCTTTCTCTCTGTCTCCCCCCACCCCTCCTTTCAAATTATGTTGTTTACCTGAAACAATATATTCTGTGTAAGCCATTAGACATCAGTATCCAAATATCTGCCTGAGTTTGTTACATCAAACAACTTCATGCTTACTGAGATCCCAATCCATCCTTATACTAAAAGTCCCAGTGTAAGCAACAGTGTAAGCAAGTGAGAATTGTGCGAAGGATGTTATATAAACCGAAGGAGGAGAGCTCATGACAGTAACTGTCATGGTAAGCACACAGCCTATATAAGCTGTGTCCAGCTTAGGAAATCCCTGAGCTGTGTCTGTTGGAGCCTGAGAGCACAGGAGGAAGCCTTACCTTGTTAATAATGTTCTTTCTTGTCTTGGGTGAAACCCAGTTGGGTTTGGGATAGTGTTAGGCTTGTTTATTGTAGGAGAGAGCAAGCTGGATCATGTGTTGGGCAGGAAGTTGAAGCTGTCAGTGTTCCTTTGTGTCTGGATCTTCTGATGTAATGATTGACAGTGTCTGTTCTTCCCTTTGGCTAAGGGCTCTGACAGGATTCCTTAGTCTTAAGACCAACACACCTGGTGGTGTCACTGCTGAACCCTTCTGCAGGAAGCTTGCCCTGATTAAGGGATGTCCGTATCTGGCAGCCTTTTGCCTGCCATAGAGCCAGGTACATCTAAGATTGTTGGTAACCTGGCCTCCTCTTGGAGCTTTTGGCTCCAGCCACTGCTGACTGCCATATACAGTCTGCAAGCATCTTGGGGGGAAACAGTTTAATGGAAAAAGTACGAGTGTCTTGTGAGATGAAGCCTGCTTGTCTCAGTAATAGTGCTTTGTTCCCCTGGAAGACCACAAAATGCCACATTTGTATTTACATTTAATATAAAGTTATATTAAATATATAATATTAATATAAGTTAATTCAGTTATAAGTTTGAGCCAATTGCTCAATACAGCACACTGTAACACTGAGTGGTTCTGTACTGAAGCCAGCAGCAGACAAGCATTAACAGCTGGATTTCAGGCATTTTTTTTTCTCTTATGAGTCTGGAACAGTTTATAGAGAAGATTTAAACAAACTTTGTCTTCTGAAACTATTTTCTTTTTTTTCCACAGTGAATGGAAATACTTAAACCAAAGGGGGGAACTAAGAACTCAGGCCTATAGGCTTCCAAATCAGAATGTATTTTATCACGCTGCATGGTGCTGGGCTCGGCAGCGGTGTGACTCTGCTGGTTCTCCTTTCACTGAGACATTTCTTAATAAAAGCGTGCATGGCTAAGGGGCGGGCTTGGCCTGCAGGGGAGGCTTGCTGCCATTCCTGCACTGGGTGCTGCAGGATGCATTGTTTGTGGCACAGGTGAGTGTGAGAGACACGGTGACATTGCTATGAGCACCAGTGCTGTTACCGCTGCAAGGAGGCCCCGGGGGAGGTCTGGAGCAGGAATTCAAGTCGTTCGTGGATGCTGTGTGGATGCTGAGAGAGCTCACGCAGATTTGAAAACTGAAAAAAGTGCAAAAAATAAGAGCTAAAATTGAAAAACAGTTGCGCTTTCCCACACCGGGAGTCGAACCCGGGCCGCCTGGGTGAAAACCAGGAATCCTAACCGCTAGACCATGTGGGACTGCATGCTAGATGCCTTTGCTGCGGCACCAGCTTCCTGCGCTCCGCCCGCGGTGCAGCGCCACCTGCCGGCCGCGTTCCCGCACTGCTGCGCCGACCGCGCGGGCGGAGAGCTGCGGGACGGCGCAGTGCGGGACGGACGGCCCCGCCACCGCGTGCTGGGGGGCAGCGAGGGCCGAAGCGCTCAGAGTCAGAGCACCTGGTTCATCTCAATCCGCCAACGTGTAAAACTGCCCCTGCGGTTAGGAAGGTCGAGCATAAATAGGAGTAAACAGGAAAAAACAAGCATTAGGGCTGCTGTAGTGAGCGCTCTCCGAAACCAGTCCCAGGGATGTACCTGGGCGCTCGGAGAGCCTGCGGAGGACGAAGCCCAAGTCTGCGTGAGCCCCACGCCGGGTCTCGTGTCGGTGCGCCGTGCAGACGGGGGCTGCGATCTCAGCAGGCAGCAGCTGCCTGGGGAGCGGGGGGAGGTGAGCGGTGAGCCGTTGGTGCTGAGAGTGGGAGGGACTTCGATCAGAACCGTGCTGGTAAGAGAGCGCAGTGAGACCGAGAGCATCGTGGATGTGATCCAGTATCATTGAAAGAACAGCAACACAGAAATCCCTCCCAAAAGAGTTCATTAAAAAAAAAAATAATAATGAATAAACCAAATGGAGAACATGCTTGTGAGAAGCTCTTGTTTCACAAGGAGCAAAGCTATTTTAAGAATAGTCTCAAATGGCTGCAAAGCTTGGCAAAGAAAGACACTGAAATACTAAATTAAAGATAAAATGCCCTTAAAGATGCAAAGCTGATGCAGACCATGTCTGTTTGCCAGCAGAGAAGATCCCAGTCAAGTTCCAGGCTGTCCAAAGGCTCAAGTGTGGAACTGCATGTGCCCATGTGTGCAGCTGCTGTTTCCTGGTGGGGTTGGAGCTGCAGCCCCCAGCCTATGCAGGGCACAGGGCTGCACTGCTTCGTGCTCCTGCTTCCTCAGCAGGAGAAGGTTGGAGCCTGTTTCTGTGAGGTCAGGCCTTGGCACGGCTGGTGGCAAGATCTGGGCTTCTGTGCATCAGCCTGCCTGTCCTCAGCTTCAGACCTGTCTGGGCGAACACCTCTGTGCTGTGATGAAGACACTGTGTTCTGGCCTCCCAAGGGCTGCTCCTTCACCTGGGTGCACTCTGCTCTTACAGAAACCTCTCCTCTCCTGACTTGCACCATCCAGCAACAGTTTGGGGATCTATATGGGCCAGCAATGAGTTATTTTGCTGGGATGTTGCTTCAAGGGGTCTGCTGGGTTTCCAGGGGAGCTCTCATGCTCACCCCGCACAACCATGGAAGGCCAGGCCTTGAGGAGGGGCCAGGGCTGGGCTGAGATGTGTCTGCTGAGAGTTGGTGATGCTGCCCAGCTCATCAGGAATGTGAGATGACTGTAGAGAATAGGAGATTTTGCCACCATCAATAAACTTAAAGAACTAAGTTGTCATTTTTTTACTGCTATCATAGGACAGGTAGAGAAACTTGGACAGGTTGAGAACTCAAATGCAAATCTTCTAACCTTTCTTGTTCCCTAACTTTGAAATCCATGTCCATCACAGTCCCATTGCACTGTGGGTGCTTTGGGAACTGGCCTCGTTTGCATGGTCCCATAAAGTAGCTGTGTTCAGAATCTGCAGGCAGTGTCACTACCACCTGCATCTCAGCATCTCAAACTGTCCTGCTGGGCAGAGCCCCATCCCTGCAGGTGTCCAAGGCCATGGCTGGGTGCTGGGCAGGCTGAGCTGGGGGGCTGCCAGCACACAGAATGGGTGGGACTGGGGGGTTTCCCATCCCAGCAGTGCTGGGGTTCTATGAATTCCTGTCCAGCA